GGTGTTGGCTCCTGGTGGTCATGATCTGAAGGGGAGTGTTTGATGTGGTGCTGGTGGTACACGCTATGGGTGCACTGGTGGGTCTCCTGGTAAAGCACTGCTCATCTCTGGCCAGAGTCCCACCCACCTCACTAATGTCACTGCTTAACACAAGTTGGGTAGGACGTGGGCTGGAGTGTCCCAGGTTGCAAAGAGATAGGAGGGGAGATGTGTATGGCCCTTACACATCTCCCCACCTCGCTCTTAGCAACCTGGGATGCTCTGGCCAGAAAGAGGGCCCCACATGACCCCAAGAGCTGCCGCCTGAGGCAACAGCCTCATTCTAGAGACGGCCCAGAATGTTTACACTTTGGGGATAGTAGATAAACTGGCATGTACCAGGGTATGTTTGTAATTTCATAATAAAATACTGAGGGTATGGTAAACTGCTCTCTTGTATACTACAGATTCAATATAAATATTTATTTAGCTACCTATAGAATAATTATTGAATTCAGAAATTTTCATTGTAGGAATTAGCATATACACCAAACATGAGCTGATATAGTCACTGTAAGCATACTAGAATTTGTTGGCAGTCCACATCATTTTGAATGGCAATATTGGTGAAATTTGCTAATGTCAGTATTAAGGAAAGGAAAACATGTCCAAGCTACTGGGGCCCACATTGCTTTATTGCAATTCATCTTTAATTCAGGGGTATGCTATATAGCCACTACGGCTCGTACTCAGTTACAGTGAATGCAGGTGCTGTATGATAGGTGATGGCAATTATTCAGAAATGAGTGCTGATCTATGGGTATTTGTTAAGCTTATTATAGTACACCGTTCTTTTTCTACTTCTATAAATAAGCCAAATAGTATGCCAAAATCTGAAGGGCTTAAAGTTATGTAATGCCCACTAAGGAGGAGGCAATTATAAACCAATGGAAAGTCTTTCCTGTAACTCAGCTTTTTCGGTAGAATTCAGGTTATTTGGGATTGGCAGCCAATTAGGATGTGTACTCTTGGCTGCTTTGAGGGACGGCTGTCATTCTTGTTCTTTGGCTTCAATGCTTTCTAAGTCAATAAGTATGCAATTAAGGAGTTGTGACTTTATCCTGACTTTTCAAATCTGCATGTTTGTTCCAGGTCCGCATATCAGATAGTATAGATGCCAAAGACATCCAGGTAACTAGCATTTAGGAAAAGGTCCGCAATGGCCACCTCCTGTCGTGGGACCAGGGGTGCCCTCTTACATGGGGTCCGGCGGGTGCGACGGAGATCGTAGGGTCCTTCTTGGGGTGAATTGGTGCCTGGCGGTGTGCTGCATGTGTGCATGACATGCGTGCGTGACGTGAGCATTTGGCAATGCCGTGGCTTCTTAGTTGCTTCGGGTGCTGGTCATTGCCGGGGAGGGCTTTGCAAGCACTCCTCTCCCAGCCGTCCCATTGGTTCGCAGGGACCTGTGGCTTCCTGTTGCCCAGACAACAGGGGCGTCGCTGGCCCCTGCTGGGTTTAAATTCCAGCCAGAGCCAAGACTTGTTGCGGAGTTATTCTGCCATTCCCTAAGCAGCTACAACGCTTCATTTCCTGTTTCCTGCCTCCCTTCCCTGCTATTCGGATCTCCTGGTTATCGACCCCTGGCTTGCCTCACCGTTTATGATACTCGCTGCCTGCCTCGACCCGGACTGGACTGTGACAACGCATTTTGGATTATCCTTTCTTGTACCTCAGCCTGGACCCCCCCCCCGTACTGAGGCCGATCGTCACCATCAGCAGCCCCCCCGTGGGGGAGGCCCCATCTGCACAGACAATCACTCACCTGGCATTCAAAGCGCCGCCGTCCGCTGCCTTAAGCACTTTGTTCTGTTGGGAAATCCTCTTCAGACTCAACCTGTCCCGTTCCCACAAAAAACACAAGGAGGGGAATTTATCAAAACTGGAGCAGACAAAATGGAGCAGCTGTGCATGGCAACCAATCAGCATCCACCTTTGATTTTCAAAACTTATCTGAACAAACTGAAGAGAGAAGCTGATTGGTTGCCATAAGCTCCAGTATTGATAAATTCTCCCCAATGTCATTTTGTCAACAAACAAACCCTCATTTTCTAAAACATTTACCTGGTTACATTAACCCCATAAAAGAAATTCTCCACCACCTGGGATCCCATACAAATAAACCATTTTCAATAGACCATATTGGCACACCATCACACTGGCCATAGTATGTCTAGGATGGAAGATTGGGCAAAATACCTCCCACAAATATCTGACGGAGTTGAAAAAATGTTTAATAGGCAGAATAGTAATGCTAAATTTTAGAAGCAAAAATATGTACTACTGTATGGCAAACGTCATTCCATAAATATGGTCCCATTGACCGTGCTTTCCAACAATTACTCCTTGGAACCCAATACATAAATGTACATTATTATAATACAGGATTTAAATAGCGCCAACAGTTTGCACAGCACTTTACAAAATGACATTTGAGAAGATCCATAGATCTCAAACATTGGTTTTAGTGTCCCAGATATTCCCTTCATACACTATCTCCATAATAAGACAATTCTCCAGATCAGAGCAGTAAAAAGATACAAATTGTAGAACAAGGTGTAATGACTCACTGCCCGGCTTCCCGATTAGCTGGGAAGCGGTCTCCATGCCCTCTCGTCACCAGGTGACAAGGAAGCCTGGAGCCGGCTTTCTGGCCAATCAGGAAGCTGGGCGCCGTGTAATGACTCGCCACATCAGGAGCATTAAGGCTAGTACAAGTACCAAATTCTTATTTCCTATGCTCCTCAGCTCCATCTAGTGGCTGTAATACAGTATTTCCAAATATTACATTTGTCATATATATACTAATATACTAATAACTAGGGATGTACTGATACCAATACTAGTTTCGGTGCCGATAGCGAGTATTTGGGCGAGTACCCCGACTCGCCCAAATGCTCCGATACCGGAACTTTCGGTCAGAGGGAAATCCTCTGACCGCAAATGCTGAGGGAACATAGAGCCAGCTTCTTTTCCAATCAGAAAGCCGGGGCAGCACGTAATGACCCGCCTCCCTGATTGGTCAGGAAGCCAGGCTGCCAAGGAACAATATATATATATAAATGGGGTCCCTCCTAACATTCCTACCAGACCTGAAGGGTCTGGTATTGTTAGGGAGGGGAAACCGCACGCTTTTTCTTTTTAAATTTTATTTTTTTCTTTAGAAATGTCAGATTTGCTGCAGCAGGTTCTATACATCGTACAGATGCGCCACTTTACAGGCAGTTTAAGGGGACCCCCCAGGCACGGTATTGAAAGGAATTCTGCAAAATGTTTATAAATACCCCCCTTGATGTTTTGATGCACATGGAACATACAATATTTAGCCTGAAAGTTAGGTTGGGCTTAAATGTTTATTAAAAGAGACCAAAAGCAGGTCATGGACGCCCACCACACATTTATTGCATGTCTGTACTGGTCACATATAGCTAAAGGCAGCCGTGGAGACCATTATTGACTGGCATGTGAGCCCTGCCTTGTAACAATAGGCTGAAGCAGAAATGTCTCGACATAATTCACTTTCCTGTATATACAACTCATTTTTATTTCCAGTTGCACTGCATTCTGGTTGTCTCAGGGAAGAATTAAAGGCACAAGGCGTGCTTCCCTTGACTTTGTACTGTATCTTAGCCTATGCGGATTCATCACAAATGCTTTTAGCAACATAAAATATTATTTGTATTGGGTTACTGTGATTGTCAATGAACCTTATAAGCCTTTTGCATGTATTATTTACTCGTGTGTGTGTATATAAAAGCAGGTAAATATTGAGTGCTGTCTGAATTTATTGATGGGGAGTTCTGTTGCTTGGTTATGTCTATATTAAAGCTTTGTGCTGCATAGATAGGATTGTATTCCATGAACTCAGCCTGCAACTATAACACTAGATTAATAAATATGTAAGAGACTAGCTCATCTAGACACCAATATTGTCATCACAAAGAGCACCACAAAATATGATTGAAACAAGCACTGCTTACATACTTAAATTAACTTACAGTGTACTAAAATAATAAACTGAGAACTGGTGGAGTTCACAGTTGCAATACATGGCACACAAATGCAAGCATGTAGATCTTAGGTCAGGCTACAAGTAGGAAAGACGTCCAACTGGTTGTAATGCAAGTGTACTTTAATTGCGCGTAAATTGATGTTAATATATATTAAAAGAAATGTATAGTGGTTTTGCATATATTCCAGCTGAACTGAAGTGCAGATTGACTTCGACTCCGATCGAGCCGATCCAACATAGGGGCCGAATGGCAGTAAGTGAATAGCCGTATGCCGCTCGGCTATTCTTCTCGGTATCTCCGTGGTACCAAGCAAAATAGCAAATCAATTTTTAAAAATTGTTTAAAAAAAAAGTTGAAAAAATTTAAATAAATTGAAAAATTAAAAAATAAAGATTGTTCAAAAAGAAAAATAAATAATAAAAAAAAAAAATAGCTCCGCCCAATTGTTTTTTTAGCAGTACGTAGGTTTTCTTGCACATGTTTGCCAGATTAGTCTTAAAGAAGAACTCCAAAGAATTTTATTTATTAACCCTTGCAGTGGGGCTACCCCAAACTGCAAGGGTTACGTTCCTGTTTTGGTCTAGGGCTCAGGCTGAAATTCAAGAGCAGTGACTTAGCCCCACTTCATCAACATCCCTACCTGCTTTGTCTAAACAACACCATCTGAAGTTTCAGTATCTAGAAGCAAACAGCTTCTGCTTCTCTACGGAAAATACCCAAAGTGCTTTGAGAATCCTGTGTTATGGAATTACACTTTATTATGTGTTTATTTAAAAAAAAAAGTGTAAACGAAAAAAATATATATTTTTGACAATCCTGACACTAAAATATAAACTAAAATTTTGAAAGAAAAAAAAGACAGGAACTACAGAAACAATGACATCAGTGTATGTACAAAGTGTTGGAGACAACTTATGGACAGTGATCTTTGTTGTTAATTTGTTACACATTTTACACAATTGTTATAATATTAATAAAGGAAAAACAAATACAAAAATGGGCCTATAATCTGTATTCTATTGTGTATAACCATTTTGTGATATTATACGTCTACCATGACAATCATGGAATATAAAAGAAGCAGAGATCATTCAGGGCAAGATATAGCTGTACATCTTCTGACAAAACAAATGTATTCTAACACATAAGCAGCACAAACAGAGGTTTAAGTTGGTGCCATATGATAAAATTACACGCTGTTATTTATATGCATTTTTATGCTACACTGACATCAGAACAACAAAATATTAAATGATTAGCTGTAGTACAATGCGGTATTCATATAATATTTGACTTAGAAAAATATTACAATTAGACAAAGTACCATTTAATACATATTTACTAATTAGACAATGAGCAAAGATGAATTAGTGTCTTGATCGCTGTTAAGTAATTATAAATTCAGTCTGGGAGCTGCCATGTTGAATAATTCTTTTCAGCATGCAAGCACACAGCAGTGTCCATGTACAGAGCTGTATCAGGTGGTCTGACTCCGTGCAGACTCAATGCAGGCGATATGCTCTCCTCTGTGAAATAGTAGGGCTACCGAAAAGTGATATTTCAGTTATGCAGAAGAATTGACCAAAAATAAAAAAGTTATTTTATGTGGGCTGATCATTTAAAGAAAAGCAGCCATAACCACTGACTTTTCACAGCTAGCTACTTGACAATTACAGCATTAAAGGAAATGTTTTTTCTTGCAGTGAGTCGAAGCCTGTTGTAAAACATGGTGATCTCGCTTCAGAAAAAGCCCCAGACTATAGTAACGTGGATCTCAAAGGTTATATACTTTGATACTTTAATATTGAGGCTTCTCCCACCTATGTCTGCAGTTTACCTGTATAAAGCATCCTCTTCCCTGATTCATAATGAGGTCTGCAGGAGAAGGATGTGGAGGGCCGGCCATGCTGCTCCTGATGCATGATGTGGGACTTGGCAGCTAAATGGCATGGGACATTCAGTGACTCTGCATGAATGAGTGAAGGCTGAAGCCTGATCAGCCGGCAGTCACTGAACAGTGTAATAGGAATCTAATCTCCTTGTCCCTTAGCCAAACAATGTCTCCCCAGCAACACTGTCACCCGAGTGACCATGTAGACCTCATTATTAGTGGAGAAAACTGACAGTAGTCTTGTGGAAAGTTGACATGGGGCAAATTACAGGTTTATAAGTATTTCCTTCCATATAGAACAGAAAGCACTTATTATAAAATATGACGTAATATTTATGCTGAAGAATGCTGCTGTATGGCATTGGATGTGCGTTTTTGGTGATATGTAATTATTCCATATTTATTTTATTCAGGGATCTCTGGAATGAGAAAAAGGTTTTTTTTTTCCCCCTTACCTGGCCGTTTGTTGCGGCTTCCCACACAGGGTCAGGTCTCCCCTGCTGTGAAGCTCTGCCCTTCATGCCTTTAAACAAGGTATACGAGCAGCGGGACCCGCTCTGCAGCCCGGGTCTGTCATCGGGGGCTCCATCAAGCCTTCCTTCTCTAGATTTCGGCAGCCGGACTTGGTCTCTCTACTATCCCTCCTGTCCTCCATCACTGTATCCCTTGGTAGCGTCTGCGTCTTTGCGGTCTCTGGCAAAATGGCCTTGGCCATTCTGCGCAGGCGCGGATGGCCGCAGCGACGGAGATCATAAAGGTTCGGGATGCTCAGGCGCATGCGCAGGCGTCCTCATTGCGATCGCTATTTAAACGGCAGTGGCGGGAGTGTTTCTCCTCTCTGTCACAAACAGCCACAGCAATTGCTGCAGCCTTACTCAGCCCAGTACAGGTAACAGCCTACTATGTCTGACTTGTGTTCTCCTTCTAGTCTGCTCTCTGCTTACACGTATTGTGGAACCTGGCCTTGGGGCGGCAGGGGGAGTAAATCCGGCCCTGCTTACCTTCCTTTTGCTTCACAGACCATGTCCGCTGACGCTGCCTCACAAGGTGCTGCATCCTCTAAGAGGTAAGGGCGGGTAAGTTTGTTGCTAGTTCTAAAGAGACAGTGAGGGGTTGCTTAAACAATGTTATATCTTGCAGCCCTCCTCACGAACATCGCACCCACTCTAGACAGACCCATAGCAGACGGGTAACCAGCTCCCAGCCGATCCGCCGTACGCGGTCCAGCAGGAGTCCTGACCGTAACAACTGCTGGGCATGTGGCAACCCTGTCCTGAAGGATAAGTTGGTGTGTCAGGCCTGTCTGATGGAGGCTGCCCATGACAAGGGGCCTCCGACGCCAGATGTGGTTTCGCTGATCAAGCAGTCGGTAAGAGAGTGCTTCCAAGAACTCACAGGATCTTCTGCTACGCATCCTTCCACATCACAGACCCTGAACGCTCCAGGCTCCACTTCTAGTGACTCTGACAACACCAGGGATCTGGCAGTGCCCTCAGGATTCGATTTCTCTTTAATCTATCCCTTCATTGCAGCAATCAAGCAAGCCATAGATTGGAAGGAAGACGTTCAACAGCCGACTAAAGCTAGGAAATACTTCCCTCATCTTAGGAAGGAGAGCAATACATTCCCATATATGTTCGAGATAAAGGAGCTCATAATGGAAGAATGGCGCATGGTTGAGAAGAAGCCATGCCTCAATAATAGACTAGCCAAGCTGTACCCCTTTAAAGACGAGGAGATCTCCAACCTTACTTCCCCCCCGTTGGTTGATGCCGCTGTTATGCGTCTAGCACGCCACGTAACCTTGCCGATGGATGACGCAGTCTCCTTCAAAGACCCTTTGGCTAGGAAGGCAGACTTGGATATCAGGAGCGCGTATACAGCCGCAGGCAATGCCTGTCGTCCAGCTATCGCACTCACAGCAGTATCTCGTGCTATTCCCATGTGGATCCAGAATATTGATCACGCTATAAGAACAGACGTCGACAAGGATAAGATCATAGACGCTCTTCAGGATTTGCACTTGGCAGGTGATTTTGTTGGTGAGGTGGCCATAGACACCATTAGGTGCTCGGCCCGAGCCATGTTGGACATGGTTACCGCCAAGAGAGCAATGTGGCTCAGACCATGGTTTGCTGCCGCTTCTTCTAAGTCCAACTGGTGTTGCATTCCATACGACGGCACCAACCTGTTTGGCGGGAAGATGGAGACCGCAATTGCTAAGGTCTCCGGCGGGAAGTCCGGCCTACTTCCCCAGGACAGGAAATTCAGGAAAGGCTACCAACCCAGCGATGGCCGCACGTTTTCTTTCAGCACGCCAATGCCTATCCATTTTGGGGCTTCTGTCCTCCACGATCCCTATGGTAAGATGGGCATACTGGAGGCTACGCCACTTCCAAGTCGGCTTCTTGAGGCAGTGGAACAGGACGGATCTCCTGCAGAGGATCTTTCTCTCTCCGCAGATGAAGTCTTCCCTGTGGTGGTGGACCAGCCGAGCACATCTTACCCAGCACCATCTCCTAGCAGTCACCGACACTATTGTGGTGACATCAGACGCCAGCAAGTTGGGATGGGGCGCACATTGCCAGGGTCTGGCAGCCCAGGGCATCTGGAATTTCTCCTCAGAAACGGTAACCTCAAACGTTCTGGAGATTCAGGCAGCATTCAAGGCCCTGCAGGCCTTTGCTCACCTACTGCACGGCCGGACTGTCCACTTATTGGTGGACAACATTTCAGCGGTGGCCTATATACACAGTCAAGGGGGGACACGCAGCAGAACACTTCTCAAAGAGGTGGAGTCGGTGTTATCTTGGGCCCAGTGCCACCTGTGGGACCTGAAAGCAACTTATCTGCCCGGGGAACAGAATGTCCAAGCGGACCACCTAAGTCGCCATTCAATCCTCCCCCACGAATGGGAACTGAATTGGGAGTTCTTTCGGGACATCAACAGCCACTGGGGTGTACCAGACATCGACTTGATGGCCACTCAGGAGAACAGGAAGTGTGTGTGATACCTTTCCAGGTTTCGCACTCCACTGGCATTCGGTGTCGATGCCCTGACCTTTCCGTGGGAGTTCACCATCGGCTACGCTTTTCCCTCGTATCCGCTGATAGGGAGGTTCCTGCACAGGGTGTCCCTGTTTCCGGGCATAATAATAGCAATTATTCCATAATGGCACAGGAGACCATGGTTCTCCCTACTCAGTCACCTGAGTCTTCAGCCTCCTATCCTCCTTTCTCCACGACAGGACCTGCTGTCTCAGGGTCTGTCCCTACATCCAACACCGGAGAGGCTCCATCTGACGGCCTGGAGATTGAGCGGCACAGCCTCTCAAACCTAGGCTGCTCCTCCTCGGTCATATCTACCCTATTTAGAGCCAGGAAGGCATCCACCAATGCCACATGCCGGGCAATCTGGATCAGGTTTATCGCTGCAGCCGGGAGGGAGGGTTTTGACCCAGAGACTCCCTCAGTCTCCAACGTACTCGACTTCTTGCAAAGCGGCCTGGACTTAGGGCTCAGCTGGAATACGCTCAGAGTTCTCTCTTTAGCCCTTTCGACCCTGTCATCTGCACCATTCCATTCTAATGCTACTTCTACTGTGTGGAATTTGACCCTTAAAACCATTTTCCTGGTCGCCATCACATCAGCCAAACGCCTGTCAGAGCTGCAGGGTCTATCCTGTAGAGATCCCTACTGCGTGTTTTTCCAGGACAGAGTCGTGCTCAGACCTTCTCCAGGCTTCTTGCCGAAAGTGTCAACTCCCTTTCACATAGACCAGGAGCTGGCGCTTCCTTCCTTCCAGGATGAGGAAGGCAATCCACATGCGCTGGACCTCAAGGACGCTCTTAGCTCCTACATATCGGCCACCGCTTCCTTCAGGAAGCAAGACTGTCTCTTCATCGTTCTGAAGGGCCTGAGTAGAGGCCAAGCAGCCTCGGCGAAAACCATAGCCTCGTACCTAGTGAAGGCCATCCAGAAAGGCTATTCGATGAGAGGCCTTCCAGTTCCAGCGGAGATCCATGCTCACTCCACTAGAGGTGTTGCAGCATCCTGGGCAGCTTTTTCCAGAGTCTCTGCAAAGACCGTATGCAAGGCAGCTACATGGTCCTCCAGTCACACCTTCGTGAACCACTACCGAATCGATCCTTCGCAGCTGACGACCTTGTCCTTTGGCAGAGCCATAATCACTTCTAGTACTGGCATTTAGGATTTTTGTATACCTTATTACATTTATATTGAGCACCCCACCATGGCGATCGTTATTTCCCAGTGTGTCCTGCCATGATGCGCCAGGAAAACGGAAGATTGTATAGTTACCTTCGGTAATCTTCCTTTCCTGGTGCATCTTCATAGCAGCACACCTCTTCCCACCCTTCCATGGCTCGTGATTGTTACATGAATACTGTGGGCGGTGGGGAGCCAAAACTTATAATTGACTTGTCCTATGGGGGTTAAGAGAATAAGAAGACCAAACCAGCTGTTTATACCGTCTCTTTCTATGCTTTTCTACATCTGCAACTCATGGGCACGGAAGTAGAATTGTGTCAGTGGGTATTAATTTCTTCATGCAAGTGGAGAAAACCATGAAACAGTATCACAAACAAGACTGGAACCTGCATGTGACTACGGAGCGAGACAAAATATAAATAGTGCCCCTCCAATGGTTTGGGCATATGAACAGCATAACCGAAGACACGTTGCCCAGGCTACATTGAGAGACAAGATATGAGGGAACCCAAAGAAGCGGTAGCCAGAGATTAGGTGAAAAAAATTAATGACCAAGACGACAGGATCCTAGACTGAATCTGAGCAATGCTGTCCTGAAATTAAGTGAATTAATTGCTAGGTACAAGAGGATAGAATACTAACAAAGCTTTTTGCCTTATAGAGGGTCATAATTATAAATGTGTCATTTACAGGATGAAACAAGTTTTAATGCAGTAGAAAGACGTTCCTTGCCAATTTGTGGCCTTTTAAATAGCATGTTGTAGCATTTGTTAGATGGAGAGAAACAGGAAACTGAACAGTTAATGTTTCTCTGTAGCTACAGGAAACTGAACTGCTTCTGACATTGTAAAATGCCTGTTCCACATGCCACATATGGGC